GGTGAAGAAAATTATTGGCCAAGCCCATTATCCTTCGGGTAGTCGAAATTCATAAAAGCTTGATTTACTTGACTAAAATTCAAGGTAGTGAGGCCTTATTAAGTTCCCGGTCAGAAGAAGTATGACTGGAGCCCATATTGCAATAAGAAAATTTAAAAAAAATCGAGAGGGAGATATTCTTGGTCAAAAGAAGACAATTCAGGAGGATTCGTAGCAGCACAAAAGTGTGGAAGAGAAAGAACAAAATAGGCAATCAAGATTATCTTATTATTTCTCTTTGATATTTAGAATCCCACTTTTATTGCGTACAGAAATTATTTCTCTGTCACTATATAGCAACGGACCCATGTGAAAGCACTTGTCTCCTAAAACGTGTCTCTCGTGGATGCTCATGGTGTATTCCATGTAACTTGTCCCCAAGCAGAATTCCTTTAGCTGACTAGATCCTCCGGACGTATAAGTTAAACCGTGAATCGAACCATAACGAAAGAGGCCCGTACGTAGCTGGAAGTTGACATTTTGGTGGGGTTTTAGTGACGGTTGGCCAAACTCTAGCAGACCTCCTGGTGGTTAGTTTGCCATAACATTGATATGATCGACAATGCAAAGTTGGACTAGACATACCCACAACCGGAATATTCCGTGGCATGGTGTGGAGTTCTTATTGCTACACCCGGGTGAAGTAGTTATGCTAATGTACTCTTTATCAATATATATATAGAAATTGCACGATTTATTCTTCCGCGTATTTTTATCTTGGACGATGGTGCATAGGCAAAATCGGTGGCCTCAAACTTAACATCCTTTCGCGGTGATCTATAATTTGTCGATTCTGAAATGGACAAACAAAAACAAAAGAGAGAAAAAGGGTACGGCGACTAAACTCGTCGGAGGTGGGTTAGAATGTTGGAGGTAGTGCAGGTGCTTTTGATTTTCGTATGAAAGATTTCAAGAAGTACTTGACATGTGTCTATGCACAAGTGGGTCACATTATCCTCCTTCAAGATATTCGATAGAGAGACGAAAATTGACTTTATGTCAATTGGTGCACGTGAAGATCACAATGCTCACATATCTCCAAAGTCCTTCTGCCAACAACATAATAGGTCGATATCTACATATAATTAGAATTTCGATGAAATGACACTACTTTGTTTGAGTTGATCCGTTATATGGATTAACGTTTAATTAGGGAAATCTCATACTTATGAGGTTAATTTGGTGGTTAAATATGTAGGTTCGATGTGACAGATAGAATGTATATTTATATCACAACTTCTCTCACTCAGAGTAAAACACAACCACGGAGCTAGAGCGGTCAAGCAGGGGCTCCGTCTCTCTTTAGCCCTCGCAACTTATAATAAATAAACCCAAAAGAATAATTATTTAAACTTCTTTAGTGCTAGGAATTATCTTCTGGCCAATTTCTTAAATTTCATGTTAAGCTGTCACGATTCTTTTTTACGTCTGCAGGTTTAAACTAGTTTTATTATTTATTAGTATGACAAATTAAATTCCTTATTTATTTTTTGTGATTGACGATAGATAGGAGACATTTGTTTCTTAACATAATCATTTCTAATTTACACAAAGAAAGACTAACAAATTCTGACGAAATTCAGGTTTTAACTAACCGAAACCACTAACATTGTAAGTTTTGTCAACGATACTATGTACTAATTAAACTCAATAATAAATAAATATTATTTTATCTCACATTTTATATCATTCTATGTAAAAGCAAATATTAGTCAAATATTAGAGTACATATAGATTATGCTCCCCCTTTCAGTAGGATATTGGCTTTGTCACGGTTTAGAGGCCATGCCCGTCATGTATGGATGAAACTTCAACCAATCCACATGAACAGGATGGTTTACGTAACATCTATCGAGATTAATGGAAACGAAAAATTTGAATATATCATGATAAAAATAATTGGATAGATCTAGACAAAAACCATATGGATGCTTACTTTTCTAAAGAATAGGCTTGAAATGATTAGCAGCACAAGTGGAGGTTCCTCAAGTTTAGTCATTAGACGTGAGGAAATGTCAGGTTGAAATGCATTACTAACAAAGGATCTTATAAGCAAAACTTAAGCCATATTTGGTCTCTCACAATTGCACGGGTCGACGATGGACACGAAAATTCATTATATGTGGAGAATGCCACAATTAAAATGCATTTTCTCAAGTTATTTGTGTGGATACTTTTTAGGGCCACACTTAAATTTTCGAATTCCTGAGATGCATTTTCCTCCATATTTATTAGGAATTGTATTTTCGTATCATAAATTTCGACCTGACAACTAATTCGAGAAAAACCTTTGGATTTAATACAAGAAAACGATTTGTCCGCATTTTACATGTAAGTGGAACTTTATGCCCAAAACCTCACGATTCAAGGTCCTACCTTCCAAAACTCCGCCATCCGAGGGGAGTAGCTGAAAAGTCTTTTTCTCTCGCTCTCTCTTGTCCTCTCTATCATCTTCTTCAACCATCAGTCATGGAGAACGGTTTGAGCTAATCTCACCCTCCCCTCCCTCTCTTATTGATTTTTTTTAGTTTTCTTGTTCTTTTTTTATTTTTTCTTCTCTCCTGATCTAGAACTTGATCCGGGAGAGTTAGATCTAAGAGTTTTAACTCTCCCGATCTGGTTCTAAATGTAGGAGTTATCCTCTCTCGATCTAGATAAGAGATTTCAATAAATATGTTTCTAGGGATTCGATACCCCTATGCTCTGTTCGTGTACAGGTCCTCTGTCTCCAATTTCAATGGTGATCGCAGGACCTCTCAGCGTCTCGCTGAACTACAAAGATTTGCTCTTCCAATTTTTTTTATCTATGTTTGTTCAACTTATTTTGGTTGTCTCCGTATGACAATGGTGTAGAGAAAGCCGAATCTAGAAGCACACCGCAAACTGGCAACGTTGAAGTAATTGGAGAATAAATTTCCGGTGTGTGTTCATCACTGACAATAATACGAGATCCAGTGATCAGCTATCGAATGTTTTGCTTGACAGATCCATTGTTATGGAATGAGTGTGTGCTTAATCTTGTCGGTGCTCTATCGATCCTCCTTGTTTAACGGATTTGGCTTTGTTTTGTAGTATTCTAGGCTTTATTCTGCTTCGATTTACTTTGTTATGAAATTTATGTACTTTTTATGTATTCTTTTGAGTAATAAATATAATTTTATTTCGACAAAAAAGAAGTCCTACCTTCCTAAAAGGACAAAGAGGTCCTTTGTAAATAATCTCTTGTAGATAAGGGGACCAATGACATCACCGCGAACATCATTGTAATCGTCATCGTTCGTTCTTAGCCACTCCATCACCTCTATCTTTCAGCACCCATCAAAATGTTGACGGGAGAGTTACCCAAAAAGTTCTAAACCTATTCCAATTGAGCCAATTGAATTCATCTGGCCAATTGTGGCCGAAAATCGCTGACATGGACCCATGTGAAAGCACTTGTCTCCTAAAACGTGTCTCTCGTGGATGCTAATGATGTATTCCATGTAACTTGTCCCGAAGCAGAATTCCTTTAGCTGATTAGATCCTACGAACGTATAAATTAAACCAAGAATCGACGATGGACGTGAAAATTCATTTGGAGAATGCCACAATGAAAATGCATTTTCTCAAGTTATTTGAAAATTCATCTTCAGAATGTCGAATACTGATCAACGACTCTTAAATTATAAACATCAAACTCATCAGACTACATAATTCAGATTAGTGCCAAACTAAGCCACAATGCATACATTTTTAACGAAGTATGATGGGTCTCTCGACTTCTAACTTCTATCAAAAAAAAATTTGGAGCCTTCGAAATTTTAGTTTAATTCTAAACTTTGTAAACACATAAGTTTTATATGTACGTTCAATTAGAATTTTTTTTTTATGATTATCGATACGTCTGGACACTTTTCTGGGGCCACACATAAATTTTGCTATTCCCGAACTATATTTTCGTCCATGTTTATGAGGAATTATCTTTTAAGCCCGAAGCCTCGCGATTCAAGGTCCTGCCTTCCTAGATAGGACAAGGAGGTCCTTAGCAAAGACTACTCTCCAGTAGATAAGGGAACCGATGACATCACTGCGAAATCATTGTTTGTGATGGTCATTGTTCGTTCTTAGTCACTCCAGAAGACCGAAGAGTCGCGACGCGATAGATTGCCTCACTCTTTCGGCACCCGTCAAAGATATGGACAAAGAACGCGTTTATCATCTCTTGACTCACAGAGTCACGTTGGAAGACAAGTGCTTTCACATGGGTCTGTTGCTACATTGGGATGTCATGTGGTCCTTGTAAATTAATATAAATAAGTACACAAAAGATTAAAAAAAAAAAAAACAAAGGTATTGTTCGGACAACTTTGTTGTCTCAACCTGAGACAGACCTCCATTGCCTAAAGAAAGCTCAATATACAAAATCAAAAGCGAGGATGGATAATGTTACAAAAGTATCGCAGCCCTAATCTTATCTGAACGTTGAACATAATCCAACATTGTAAAATTGAAAAGGGGTAGGAAACGTGCAGCACGATACGATTTCTGACAGTGATTACTTTCTAGATGCTATGTTCTTTCCTTAGCAATTACAACCAAGTATCATCTTGCTCGTGAAAAGCAACACCCTCGAGAGTAACATGTCGATCAGAGAGAGCTTTCGGGTGTGGGGGTGAACTTAGCTTTTGGCTTTTGACTTTATCTTTAATATTTCGAATCCGACTTTGATATGTATATTTAATTCGTTATATCTTTAAAAACCAGCACATATCGGCATTCATGGTCATCGACTATACGTCTGTTCAATTAAGAATACGTTTTGTACGGGAACATATTTGTGTTAAGGGTGTATTAAGCTGGGACCCAACTATGTTTCTTTTCCTATTAATCGGTGTTATTCTCCTTTGCATGCATGCATTGGATGCTGCACGGTTGGCTATATAAAGAGACGGACGCAAGAGAAAAGAAACATGCACCTCACTCATCTTCTTCTTCTTCTTCGTCCTGCTTATTAAGCCTTACTTGGTCTCTTGTTTTCCTTCCTTCCATCCTTGGAGGATAACATGGCGAAGCGGGCATTGTCCAACCCCTCCCGCGGCAGCGACACGGTGAGTATCGTGGCCACTTCGGCCATCATCAACTTCGTCAACAACTACCAGTTCATAGACCGGATTGTGGGAGAGCATTTTTATGATTCCTCTGTTGAAGAAAAGTGCAATGTGAATGACCTCCTTGGCATCGTCAACAACATCCTCTCGGGCGTCATCCCGCTCGTCGATAAGGACAGTGGCAACAAAAAGGTATTGAATAGGGACCGGTATCATTTCTGAACACAACAAACGTCATTCCTAAGACACTGGTTATGTGCATATGTAGGATCAATTGAACCAAATCCATAAAACAAAATTTGGCTTGTTGATTATATGAGATTTTGTAGGATTACTATCAACTGTTCTAAAAGTATAAGCTATTAAATGAAGACGTGATTTAATATTTAATTATTCGAACACTCCTCCTCCCACTTAGTCTAGTCTTTTTGCCTAGTACTAAGTGAGGACACATCTAATTAGGGAGGCAAATGGGGCCTGGAAATATTTGAACTCAGGACCTCCTGTTTTGATACCATATGAGATTTTATAGGACCACTTCTAACTGTTCTAAAAGTTTAAGCTGTTAGATGAATGTGTGGTTTAATATATAATTATTCTATCAGATCAAGTAATAAAAAGGCTAGTGTAGGTCTAAGGAATGATTTGTGTAGAAGTTGCACCAATTGTTTGAGATTTTATTATTGCAGGTTCCTACAGATGACCTGCAAACCATTATTCCCAGCAACATTTCGCATTTGATTAACTGGATCTGCTGCCAGGTTTGTTGTTACTATTAATTCTTGTAACATGGGGTATTCGGATGTTTACGACCCGATTAATTTTCTACGGATACATGCAAACCGGCCCGTTTACATTCATCAAGTGAGGCTCCATTCGCATGATAGGTGTGCGTGGCCCCAACGTTAATATAAGTGGGCAATCATGGTCCGTTTGATTTAAAAATATTTTTCCTAAAAATAATCATTTGTATAGCTTGAAATAATTGATCAATTAAAAATATTTTCATTTTCGATAATAATGCATATCTAAATATTTTGGTGAACGGTGAAAATATTTTTCGTTCATTTATTTTTATAAGTAATTCAAGCGATCATTTCTTGAAAAATATTTTTCACGAAACAAATGCATTCTTATAGATAAAAATTGAGTAGCCTTTTAAAAATAACTTATTTTTAACTATTTATGATCCAAATCCCAGGGTTTTGTTTTTAATAAAGAAAGATGCCACTAAGACAGTAGTATGCACAAATGAATTTTAACGTATTTAGTTTTGTGTAACATTTGAGTCATATCACGTTATAAAGCTAATCATATTATTTCTGAATTCCTCGTCAAAATCAAGAAATTAATATATATATATATATATATATATAACAATTCCAAAATAATGATCTATGCTGAATTATTTATACGTCTTTATATATTTGGGATGCTTTTATTTGATTTCAGAAGTTAAAAAAGTCAAAACCTCCTCCTCCTCCTCTTCTTCAGATGACATGTGAGGCTGCGCGCAGCAAAAATGTAGAGACGAGGTTGCTGCAGATCTTCTCGAAGTTATCAAGCTATCGATGGACCACCCAAGTCCTGCTGGTCCTCGCGGCCTTCGCTCTGCAATACGGCGACTTCTGGTTCATCTCCGAAGCTCCCTCCGACGGCCGGAACGCCCTGTCCACTTGCCTCCTGAAGGGCCTGAGCTCGCTCAAGAAGAAGCTCATATCCGACGAGAACAAGGCGGCGGCGATGATTCCTCTCAACAAGGTAGTCAACGACCTCTTGGAGTTGACCACTCACTTGGTTCGTCTCTCCAAGCTGGTGATACAGAACCGCGGGAAGCACGTGCCTGAATTGGCAACAGCATTTCGAACAATACCCAGGTGGAGCTGCGAGACCATCGTCGCCATTCTGGCCGCCGGGAACTATTTCGCCCGGCTTATCAATGATGATAAGTACGATCTGCGCTTCGTGGTTTATTTCGCGGATACTGCATGAGCACGCCATGTGTTTTTCTCGTAATGCCCCGAGAGGAAATGCACCTTTTTGTTCGCCTGTTCTGTCTTTGTTATAAGACCCTTTAGATTTTGAAAAATGGGGTAGCATGACACTCGCATTCGAATCATGCAACTGTTCATATGCACTTGCTCTGCTATATACCTTGTGTATAACTGTGTGTTTTCCTGGTACTGCATGGTTATGCATAAGAATACGGGGTTCTGGTTTTTGGTGTAGTGATTTACGGTCACAGAAATGATCTCAGGTTGGCAGAATCAGAACTGGATATTATTGCGTTGAGCGTGTCGGACACGAAGAGTGACGTTCTCAGAGCGGTCAAGAGTTGCGAGAGGAAAATAGGTAGCCCAGTTCATAGATAGTTGATTTAGTGCGTTGATTTTCTTCTCTTCTATGGTTTAATGTCCATTTCATTGATGTTAGGCCAGATGGAGGAGTATCAGAAGTACGTGAAAAAGGTCGAAGCTCCTGTGGACATCGTGGACTTTCTGATTTCACTGCTTACTGCGAAGGATTCCTCGCAGGATCCAATTGTTACTGGTCCCAATGACACACCGGTTTGCCCTCTGCAGAATCTATAATTTTTGCCCCTTCTTCAATCTATTTTCTAGGAAATCCATACAGCAGAAGCAACAATTATGCAGAGGGGAACACATTATATTCCTTTAGGCCTTACTTTTTGTAGTTTATCCATTTTTCAGGAAGGCAGGAAGCCAAGAAATTCTCCATTTATCATTTGCTTGTATAGATATGTCATAGAAGAAGGAGAGAATATGCCTAATTTTTCTGATGTGTCCAGACTGGTCACCCAGTTTAACACTATTTTTGGTATGTAATAGTTAACTGGCAGAGCATACCTGATATCCTACGAGAGTACCAGATGGAGACCAAAAGAGAAAAATTCAACTAATGCATAAATATGTCTTTGTTAAATTTTGGGAAGTATCAAACTCATTCATTATTCTGGATCTTTGATTGCTTCTGCTTATGTTGCTAACCGGCTTATACACTTCCCTTCTTTTCTTGACTGGACATCTGCAGGTCAAGTTTGAGTTGTTCAGGAAGAAGAGTGTATTGCTGATTATATCGGACCAAAACATCTCTAGGGATGACATTGAGACTCTTAGAATTATTCATGATGATGAAACTAAGCGCTTTCGAATAAGCCCCGAGGACGACCCAAAAGCTGTTTCTATCCAGATTCAAACCGAGAAGGAGACGCTCTATGAGCTTGTTTGGATCCCTATTGTGGATGCGAGGCCGGAGAATTTGGAACCACTGCCAAAATTCAATTCTCTGATGCCATGGGCTTATAGGGTAGACCCACAGAAAATGAATGAGTGGGCCGCTACATATATCAAGGAAGAGTGGCGTTTCAAGCGAGAAACCATGGTTGTGGTGTTGGACTCGCTTGGTTTGGTGGAGAACACAGATGCCATGCCCATGCTACGGATATGGGGGACAGACGCTTTCCCTTACACAGGGAATGAAAGTACCCATCCGTGGAGGGGGCCATGTAATTGGGTTCAGCTTGTATTAAAACGGGTAGTCCAGCAGGGGACATTGGATGCGGTAAACACACTCGTCTTTCTAAATTTATCGACTAGTTTTGGTTGGGGGCGCGCACAGTTTTCATGTGCAAATTTGCCTTCATGCTTTGAAGTTGATTCAGTAAATTCACACCTAACATTTGTCATGTTAATACAGATTAAGGATGAGTACATATTGTTTTGGGGAGGACCTGCTGCTGCTGTGGAGGCAGCAGGTGCTGTCGGTGGCGGAATTCCTAACCTTAGGGCAGTTCTAATTGAGGACATGAAGCACTTCCGCATCCTCTTGAGGAGTTGCTTGATTTGTAGGTTGCAAGCTCTGCAAATTCAGAAATTTGAAAGCAGCCCATTGCGCGATCCCATAGTATACCAGATGAGTGAAGCCTACAAAGCCTGTCGAAAAGACGTGGTTGCAATACTCGCCAAAGGGCCTGAGCTGCTGTTGGAGCATGTAGGCCTTTTGAGTGATTTAAAATTGGTGAGGGATGAGGTTGCCAAGGATGGATTGACAGCTCCTGCAAAAGGTTTCGAGAAGAAGTATAAAGACGCTCAAGGACAGTCCATATGCCTGCACGTCTGCGTCCCACATTATACCAGTCTCGGGGATTTCACTGCCCTGATTGTAGCCGATTCATGAGGCACGATCTTAGCCTCACGTGTTGCCATTCCGATCCTGATTGAAGGGGGCTTGCGACGCGTGAAGCCCTTAGCCAACGCTAACGCTAAATAAAAAAGCTTCAGTTCGGAGCATGTTCGGTTGTGGAGTGTGCAAGGCGTGGCAGAGTGTTTACATTTTTCTGTGCGTTTTCGGTTTGTTAACATATTAGCCTCTTTGTTCGCAAGAGAGCTAACTTCTGTTTACTTTCATATGCTTGTAATGCGCTTGTGCTTCGGGCGATAAGAGCCTCTCAGGGCCTTTTGTTGCCATTTTATCGAATAAACAAAGAGATTGACGAGGTTTGTTTGCGTTATCTTGGAGCAAGATTCTTGTTCCTAAGTCCTTCTGTTTCCCTTCGTCTGGTACTGTCTCCATATTATCATATGTTAGCCAAGGAACTAATCTATGCTATTCTAGTCTCTTAAAAATGCCGAAGTTGGGATTCCCATGTTTAAAGAAAATAGTTTTGTTCCGCTCATGCATAAATTGACGGATCAATCAAGCTTCTTCAAACCAAGATACTTCGAGGATTGAAATCACAAAACTAACTTTTTAAAGTAGGTAATTTCATGCAATAACACAAACTTTAGAGAGTTCCTCAGAATCTCATTTAAATCCGTAAAAACATTTGAATTGTTGAGTTCTCCTGATGTTACATATGAAAGTACAAATGATTTTCGTGTTCGACTTAAATATGTCGTCATAGACCAGCATATATCTCTTTAGGTAAGAACTAGCTAGACAAGTTGGGCCATTTAGCAAACAGGCAAGTTGGGCCTGGGGTAAAAGACAGAGACTCCGCATAGCCCACCATAGTACTACTCCTTTCTCAAGTGAACTTCTGGTCGATTTGTGTTTCAGGCATTCGCTACTTTATGTAAAACGACTTGTAAGCTTTAGATACACTGATAAGCCTATAGTGACATTCTCGACAACTTTCGACTCGCAGATTCCGAGCAAACGAAGCAGTTATGACTCAAACTAAATATTGTATAATAGATCTGCAGCTTTTTGGGTAATATCCAAAGGCCTCGTTTGGTTTCCATGAATAAGGAATCATCAAATGAATTCTCGTTCCAGTGAATATCGCCCATTAGAATAAGGATTCCTTTTCAATTGTTTGGATGAATTTGGCCTTCTAGGAAGGAATATTAGTCCAGCAGATGACGACCGCTGTCGAAAGAGAATGTTTGGGACTGACATGTGTCATTTTTCTACAGGGGGAACCCTCTTTTTCTTTCCAAAACAACTTTAATGGTTTTTACTTTTCACTTGATAAGTTAAGTCTATTATTCTATTATGTTATGTCCACATTCTTTGGGAATTATTGATTATCTTGTGTGAATATGGATAAAGTTACATAACTTGTAATGTGCTCACGGAATGTTTTTATAGTTAAAGCTGTAAAAGTAGCAAAGTATAGTTATGTGCTTAGTACCTACCTTTACAATTATGTCCTTAGTAATCATTAGCTCATATAGTTATTTCAATATGGCAAAATCTACAATTACATTCGATAAAAGAATTCGTAGTAGTCATTGGCTCTCGATGTAAAAGATGTTTCGACCGAAAAAACAAAACTGTGAAGAAAGAAATGCTCGATCAATGATAATTGAGATTGGTGTGTCTTATAGGAAAGATTAAAACATTGCATATAATACACTCGACATCTTGGATATCATAATAGTTATGACCTCGATGTTGTTTGAGAGTTTACATCTACTGTGAATATCATGGTAAATACAACCTTCCGAAGCCATTATCTCAACTTAAGAGTGTACCACTATAGGATATAAAAGGGAAAATTACTCAATCGGTCCGAAATTGATTCAACAAATGCAAATGTAGTCCTAAATTTTTCAATTTTGCCAATTTAGTTCTAAACATTTGTGCGAAATTTCAACATAGTCATTTTGGCTAATTTTCGCCAGAAATCGCTAACGTAGCGTCGTGCCCCGACGAAAATTGATCGAAATGACTGCATTGAAATTTCGCATAAAGGTTTAGGACTCAATTGGTAAAATTGGATAATTTATGACTGAATTGACACATGTACAATATGTTTAGGACTAATTGAATGATTTTCCTAGATATATATTTAATATGATGATGTAAAAAGGACTCGATGGAAGGGTAATTGGCAAATTTAACTGAAATGACTGTTGAAATTTCGTACAAAGATTTATGACTCAATTGGTAAAATTAGATAATTTAGGATTGTATTGGCATCCGTACAATATCTTTAGGACTGAATGGACAATTTTCCCGAATAAATAATTAATATGATGTAAAATTACTTCAATGCAAGGGTATTTAAAAGAACATATGAAAGTGTGCAAGTAAGTAAAATTGACAATTAATAATGAGATAAAATTTTGCAAAATTTACATATGTCGATTACTTTAAGTATTGTTTAGTAACTTCTTATGATACCCACGAAAGTGCGCATGGGATTTTCCTTCTAGCTAATTTCTATACCTAGTATAGTAAAACTTATTCACCCCTTTCATTTTACAAACAAAAGGGGTGAATACCCTAAAAAATCCCAAACTTTAGGTCAAGTCCCAAATCTGCTCCAAACTTTTTTTTGTCTCGGAAAAAACCCCAAACTTTACGTTCAGTCTCAAATCTGCTCCAAACTTTGTTTTATGTATAAAAAATCAGCAAATTTCAATTTATTTTCAAAAATATACCCCTGGGATCCAGTCCCAACTTGACATGGTACTTCCACATCATAACAAATCCACATCAGCAAAGTAATGGGGCGATAAGTACAGACCAACGTCGCATTTCCACTTCAATAACAAATCAAACCAAATAAAAACTATTGAAATTCTCCAAAATAAAATCATTCTAGGATATGAAAGTTAGGGACGATAACAAATTTACCCAAAAAACTTTTTTTAATTTAAAAAAAAACCTAATTTTTAGGTTCAGTCCAAATTTGCTCCGAACATTTCTTTGTCTAAAACAAAAACCCCATTACTCTGTTGATGTGAATTTGTTATCGATATGGAAGTATCGCGTGAAGTTGGGACTGGATCATCGAGGTATATTTTTTAAAATAAATTAAATGTTGGTGATTTGTTTTTTACACAAAACAAAATTCGGGACAGATTCGGGACTGGACTTAAAGTTTATGATTTTTTCTGAGACAAAAAAAAGTTCATGGCAGATTTGGGACTTAACCCAAAGCTGGGGATTTTTTAGGGAATTAAGCCCAAACAAAAGTATCAAACTTAACCAATGAAGTAATGCCAATAAAAATGTTAATGGGAAAAAGCGCCGAAGACCAAAAGGACATTAGATTAGAAGAAATAACATGTAGATAAAATGTTAAATGTAAAAAATTATAAGAAACCATTAAACAGGGAAACATTGAGAAAATAAAAGGAAGAAGATAATAGATGTGAAAAATGATTTAAAAAACCCAAACTTTGTATTCGTAAGTAGAATGATACAATTTCTTTTAAGAAAAAGTTACCCTCTTGTCTCCAAATTGTGAGAAATAGCTATTTAACTTATCACCATGTCAACAAAAAATGATTGGACTTTATATCACTTACATATATAATAGTACTATATTTTCCATATGTTATGTGTAATATATCAATATGTTATTTATATCTAACTTGCCCCCTCCCTTCCTAAAAAATTCAATCCATAGTTATCAATGTCATCACTCCCCGATTAGAATCTTAGAATCCAATAATCTATGGAGTGAATCTATGGTATAATAATCACAAGTGAATCTACAGATTCACCACTAAATTTATTGATTTGATAGGTATGTCTTGATATGATTTTTATATTCTGCCTACTAAATTGTGTACTCTTAATATCCTGATAGTTTCTTCACTTATATCTTAAAATTTATAGATTAGTATAACGTGAATGAAATGGCATATAAACTTCATCATGATGCTTTTTAAGAAAGATAATGTCTTGCAATATCTTTTTCTACGCTTGATATGTACTTGAAATTACAATATCTTTACCTTTTAGATCATGAATATTTCAATGCTAGATTGTCCTTGAGATATATTCACGTAATATCTAATGATGCAAAACAAGATCAGAGAAGTATTCATCGTACAAAAAGATCCTATTATTTATTTTAGAGAATCCAATCTAAAAATTTAAATTGATAGATAGATGAATGCTACATGAATACAAGGCCCACTGAAACCCCATAAATTCCACTAAATTACCCTAAATTTCACTCACCATCCCACCTCAAAATGTCCAAGATTTACTATTTTTTTTCCTTTTATTAAGATGTCCAAGAAATATTTGTAATAACTTGGGTTGATATTTCAGTCATCATGCTGACTTTTCCAGAAAAAAATAAAGCTAGTAAACCCTTGAAAGTTGCTAGGTGTATTACCATGTTAGTGGACATGGATTTGACACATAAACATAGCTAATAAATAAAGGAGAAGGCACATGATTCTGATGAGAATTGATGTTCTCAATTGCCCCACCATTATGTCTTTGCTTCTTTGTGTGAATGGCCCTTCGTTGAATCATAGCATTGTGGGAAAGAATGCCTTCTTGTCTAAGCTAATGAATAGTGTGCGTGACTCTCGTGGACACAAAAATAAAAAATCTTTGGTGTAAAATTTACTGCATGTTAAGTCCCTGCTAATGTTTCTACTTCCTACAACATGATTTCATTTAAGTATCTGTTGAAATGGAGAAAATTACCAAATTAGTCTTAAACCCATTGTACGGATGTTAATTTATTTCTAAACTTTTTAATTTTATCAATTTAGTTATGAACCCTTGCACGAAATTCCAATATCGTTATTTTAATCAATTTTCGCCAGAACTCGCTGATATGGTGGTCTAGTCATCGCCAGTCATCTTAGGTGGCATACCGCCACATCGGCGATTTCCTGAAAAAATTGACCATAAGAACTACATTAAAATTCCACGCAAAGATTTAAGATTAAATTGGCAAAATCGAAAAATTTTACAACTAAATTGGCATCTGAATAGTAGGTTTAGGAGTGATTTGACGATTTTCCCATTGATATGTGATGCTAAGAAGGGGCACGAATTGCCCCATCTACTTTCTTACCGAGCAAGAAGATATATCAAGTAAACTGTTTATACCCTTATGATGTATTAAATATAACATTACCCAACCATTTAATGCCAAAATACTTTGATTGACTAGTGTTAGTACATAACCATTAGATAGCACATCTTTTTCATTAGAAGAGCGCATATACCTAACCACCACTTTTTTTTTTGCTAGAATACCTAACCACCACTTAGACCATTAGCGATCTGCACTCCA